AAAAAAAACAAAAAATTAGGGCATCAGCACCCACCACTTTTGCCTTTTAGGATGCCTCCTATTACATGGGGCCACTTCTGGGCTCTGTGGACCCAGCAGTGACCAAGACAGATTCCTCCCTCACCCAGCAGGGAGGGGAAGAGGAGTCTCTGAGTAGGGGACTGGCAAGCTGCGAAAGCAGGAGCTGTGTGCCAGGCAGAGGGAACAAATAGCCAATGCATCTAGAGTGGCCAGAGCAGAGAGAGAGAGGTGGAGGGGAGGGGGCAGGCCCCTGAGCCTGGTGGCCCTCTGGTGACAGATCTGGTTTTGGTCCAGAGGGCAATGGGGAGTCATGGGAGGGCTTAGAGCACAGAATTAAAACTGCTCTAGAATCTAGACTCCATCCTTCAGTCTACACCACAGGGATCCAACCCACCAGATTCAGCCAGGTGCAAACTGTACACCACAAATAACTCAATTATCTTAACAAATAAAGAGCAAGGGGGGAGATTGCAGGGATGGGAGTGAGTGTGGAGGTGGAAGTGAGCATAGAAGGGATAAATGGTGATGGGAAAAAAAATTTTTTTTTTAAAGAGCAAGGGGAAAAAGAAAACCAAAGGAGGAGGAACAATGAAAAGACTCCAAAGTACTCATACTGTGTAACTTCATACAGATAAAGATGCAAAAGAAATTAATGGTGGTACATGTTAGGAGAGAAGGGAGAAGTGAGAAGGGGGTTCTGGGGCCCACAAATGTTTGCTCTCCTGCTCTGGCCCATGATGAGTAGCTGTTCAATAAATGTGCCAAATCTAGAGTATACAGCCTGAGCCTTGACCTGACGGGGGCCTGACTCCCAGGGAACCTGGACTGCACCTTCTTCAAATCTCCTGGACCCTCGGCCTGTCAGTGAGCTGCTGCTGCTCCCCAAATCCCCCCCCCTCGAAGGTCCAGCCACTTGCTGAGTGCTCCCTCAGGTCCATTCACCTCAGCAGCTTCCCCAAAATAGTTCCTTTATCTCCACTTAACCTTCCCCTTTCTGATTTTTATTCTGATTTGTGGAGAATAACTTTAAGGTATAAAAAGGGTGAACAAGGAAATGTTCCCCTTCCCCTGGCTCTTTGTACTCCCCCCTGGAGAGAGGTGATGTGCTTTGATGCCTGTGCATATCTATTCATTTCTCTCCCCTCCCATTTTAGCCTTTTTATACATGTGGTAGCATCTTTTTCTCTGCTGCATAGTATTCCACAACGACGACCATCCTGGTACATGGGCTAGTCTCTGGGGTCCATTTCTAGGTGTAGGTTTTCAGGATCAACTGTGTCCTTTGTAAATTGCCTACCACCTGGTCCCTGCCACCAGCAGCACAGGTGTCCACCAGCAGTGCAGGTGTCTGCCAATGGCTGGCCATGAGCCGGGAAGTGGACACTCCCAAGAGGTCTGATTTGCAGCAACCCAAGTCCAAAGAGAGAGAGAGAGAAAGAAACATCAATGACAATGATGGGAGAGTATTGTCATTGATCGGCTGCCTCGCCTGGACTGGGGATCCAACCGAGATCTCCTGTACTGAGGTTGATGCTCAACCGCTGAGTCATGCCAGCCGGGTGATACTGACTTCTTTAAAGAACAGGCATCTTCTAACCGACCGACAGACGCTGGGCAGTGAGACTCTATCCCCTGGTCAGGGTGGGTCCTTTCAGGGTGCATAGTAGCCTCCACACAGCCTACCCCACGCCATCCCCACTCTGCCCCAACCTCCCCTCCAGTGGGTCTTCTCCAGCGCTCTCACCCTGACAGTTCAGGGGGAGGTGAGAATGGGGAAAAAGTTGCTGTGTGGATGGACAAAGGGCCACAGGCAGGGGAAGGAGTGGCGACTGACTGCAGCAGAGGCAGGAAGGTGGGGACAAGGGGGCGGGGAGGTTGGGTATAAATGCCAGGCGGCTGCAGTACAAGCAGAGGCGCGGCTTAGGCCAGTGGAGCCGCCCTCCAAACCAGGTGGCTTCCAGCAGAGACCCTTCCGGCCCCAGGCAGCCTGGAAGAGGGTCTCCGCTGCGATCCCCGGCGCAACCCCGGAGAGTGATCGGTAGGAAGAGGGCGGCAAAGTCATGCGCGCCCTTCCCAGGTCTGAGCCCAACGCGTCCTGGTGGGCGCTGGCCAACGCCTCGCGCTGTGCAGGCTGTGGCGCCAACGCCTCGGACGGCCTCGCCCCTGCGACGTGGTCCGTGGACGCCTGGCTCGTGCCGCTCTTCTTCGGCGCGCTAATGCTGCTGGGCCTGACAGGGAACTCGCTTGTCATTTTCGTCATCTGCCGCCACAGACAGATGCGCACGGTGACCAACTTCTACATAGGTGAGCACCCCGGCCCCCCGCGGTGCCCATCTGCCATTCCCCCACCTGCCATTCCCCCATCTGCCATTCCTGGGGTCGCCACAAGGGCCGAGTGGCCCGCTGACCCCTAGCGGTGCCACCGAGCCCTCCCAGAGAGGAGTCTCTCCCCTGCAGGTCTCCAGTCTTTCCTCTATTGTCCACATACCTTAGGTTAGAGGTCAAAACTCTGGCATTGGAGGGTTCATGCTGGCGCAGCAGTTAAAAGGGAGGTTGGAGAGCTCGCCCCTGCCACTGGAGGAAGATGTCCAATTGAAATGTGATTCTTATGACACAGTATCTGATGAAGAAAAGCAATAGGGGGCGGGACTGCTTGGTCCATAGGATCCCAGTTTGCAACTTCTCCTACAGTGGCTCAGTTTGCACACTTGTGTGATGGGGTGGCCCACCACAGGTGAGTGCTCAGTTAGCGTTCTCCATTCTGTGGTGGATGTTGGGTGAGCACCACTGTCTCCAATTTTCAGACAAGGGAACTGAGGCTCAGGGGGACAGGGGCCTGCTCAGGCTCTCCCAGCCTAGGCAGGGGTGAGCAAGGCCCACTGAAGCTTGAATAGCTGTGAAGCCAGTGTAGGGGGATGTTCGAAATGTAAAAGGGGAAGACTGGAGGAGGTAGGGAGCCTTCTGGAGCTGTCCTGCTGATCACTCAGACAAAGGTGAGTGCTAGGGAGCTGGGCCAGAAGTGTTGGGTGGATGAGGGCCGGCACCCCACGTCCAGAGCCGCACATCTCCTGCCTGCAGCCAACCTGGCAGCCACGGACATGACCTTCCTACTCTGCTGTGTTCCCTTCACTGCCCTACTCTACCCACTGCCTGCCTGGGTGCTGGGTGACTTCATGTGCAAGTTTGTCAACTACATTCAGCAGGTGGGCTGGAGGCTGGGGAGCTAGGGGGTGGGTCTGTTTGTGGGCAGATAGATGCCATGGGAGAGTTTGGGGCCCAGTGGGAAGTGGGTTGGGGAGTGATAGAGTCTGGTGGATAGGCTGGGAGGAGGTGTAGCCTGGACCCAGTGGTGGAGGGTGGAGGACCCCTGGCACTGGGAGGGAAGGGATACATATAAGCACTGGGTGTTGGAGATGAGAACAGGGAGGATGATGCAGGTTCTTGCCCCCCTGTCCCTAGGATGGCTCTGCCTCTCCCTGTCTCAGTCTCTGAGTTTCAGTGGACTCCCAATGGTCCCCCCAAACCCCCACCATTCTGGGGTTCTCTCTGGTATTGCCCCTCTCCTGACCCTTAAATTTGTGGCCCCTGAAGACTCTCCCAGAACATGTCCTGCCTGTGCCTGAGTGGTTGGACATTTGTGTGGGAGGCGGTGACCCACAGTGTGGGCACAGACAAGGCAGGCCCCAGACGGGGGTGGGGGGGCGCGGGACGGGGATGACGGCACATGCCCAGCTCCCGGCCCTCCCAGGTATCGGTGCAGGCTACGTGCGCCACTCTGACCGCCATGAGCGTGGACCGCTGGTACGTGACGGTGTTCCCTCTGCGCGCCCTGCACCGCCGCACGCCCCGCCTGGCGCTGTCCGTCAGCCTGGGCATCTGGGCGGGTGAGTGCAGAGCGGGGGCACGCGGGGTGGGGGGACACGTCCTCGTTCCCTGGGCACCTTCCTACTCACCACCTCTCTCTGGGCGCTGGTCTTGCATCCCTGGCCCTCTCGTGCCCCTCGTTCCCGGGCAAGGTCTTCAGCTGCGCCTGTGGTGCAGGCTCCGCTGCCGTGTCCGCTCCAGTGCTCGCCCTGCACCGCCTCTCGCCGGGGCCGCGAGCCTACTGCACCGAGGCGTTCCCCAGCCGCGCTCTCGAGCGCGCCTTTGCGCTCTACAACCTGCTGGCGCTCTACCTGCTGCCGCTGGTCGCCACCTGTGCCTGCTACGGGGCCATGCTTCGCCACCTGGGCCGGGCAGCCTTGAGCCCGCCG